CGATTTCCGGCTGTTGTTACGCCTTTTAGGGTCTTTAGAGGGTTTAGAGAAAAGACCTAGAATCTAAGCCCTGCAGGGCATATGAGCACAGAGTTATTTCTTTTTTTACGCATAACTAAGCAGAGAAGCAGCGAGAAATCGCATGGCACATGTCCGGACGAGATCTCGATGCTGGTGCCGCTGTTTTCATGGAACTGAAGGAAGGACTCACTCGTTTATCACACCCTCAACTTATTGAGGATATCCCTAACAAGCACATTGTAAACAGCAACATATATGTAGTTTAAACCCAGGCTGAATGCACCAGGCCGATTTTTACACCAGACTTGAAGTACTCAGGCCATTGACTGCATGAATGGTTGTTGCTTTATACCTACTTTTTGCGCTCACTAACACAAATCATCATAAAGGAAAATAAGTGAAATGAACAATTGGTCGTTCCGATTAATGGTCGGTCTTTAAAAATGATCTAATTGTTCAGTGAGCAATTTTCCTGCCAAAGCATTAAAATGCCTGTACGTGAGAATCACGTATACTTGGAAGCTGAATTTGAAATCTCTAGCTCACACGTGCACAGGGAATATCTCTGCAAAGTTTCAACTATTTATCCTTTCTGGTTTCCGAGGCCACCTTCCCGCCAAGACATTCGCGTGTTTTTTCAAAGCGTCCGTAAATGGAGCTCAGGCGTACGCGGGTGATGCTATTAAAACGAAGTTTCAGCTTTCTAGCTTTTCTGGTTCTCGAGTGGAAGTGAGTGGCAAAAAGTGCGGGCACACAAACACATATACACAGCCTCTTGCCAATATTTGTTTTTGCACTTGCATACACGCAGAAACGCATAAAAATGCAATGTTTCACATCTAAAATTCAATTTTTTCAGATGTTTTAAATCTCAGATTAAGCTCTCAACCCGCACACGTCTGAGCTATCGAACGCATTGGAGCAAATTAGAAAACCATGCTCCCTGGTGACTCCAAGAAAGGAATAAGCTATGGCATGAAGCAAAGCAGCATTTATTCTTCAAGAGAATTCTTCCGAAATGTTTTGCGGTGAATTTAAACAAAAGAAAAATTTATTACTGAAATTGAAATACACTGAATGCTTTTTTTAGACAGTAAAATCAAAAAACCGACAACTACTGCTGGACTCTGATAAATGTAGTGCGAACAGTTGTCATCGTGGAGTGATGTTTAGAAGATTTTTTATAGAATTATTATAAAATATTGAAATTTTATTATGAAATTTTGAAAATAGACATTTTGAGGAATATGTTGTCTTTTTTGCCCGATCTGTAACCTCCTTCCCTGAATTTTCTAACTTCATGCACCATTTTTCATCATACATATTCACATGATGCTCTGAACATTCGTGTACATTTTGATCGCTGGTTAATAAAAAAATCCCATAAACGCTTTTATAAATCGACAGTTTCCACATATAGCTGCAGTGGTTGCTTCATTTCTCGCCGCCACTCTTGAAATCCCGACGGCGAAAAAACCTTTTGTATTTTATTTTATTATCAGTCAAGCAAAACCGCGATCAAAGGCCCATATCACTGGGGCCAGAGCCATACAACAAGGAAATTGGACTTTAGACTCATTGAGGAAAATTATCTTAAAATATGAATGAGATCCATTTCAAATCATACTGCGTTATCAATTTTGCATCACAAAATCTAAGCATGAAATTTAGCAATAATTCAACGAGCCATGAAAAAAAACGTGTACTGAGTACCACTGGGTTAAATAACATTTTGCAATAAACTATTGGTGGTGATACCAAGGTATTGCGCACCGAAAAGTAGAGCTGGACTAATTTATGCTTTAGGAACCGAAGCAAAAAAAAAAACCAATTACTTGTTTGGTTTGGTAAATCAATATGCATTTACTAAATCAAAAAAAACACTGAACGCAGATACGAGGCTCCCTAGAATTTTCAGTACTCCCCAATACAAACACCAATACACAATTCCCCAAAACTTTTAAGTGTCCGTACGTAAAAACCACGCATACCTCACAGCTGAATTTGAAATACTTAAGTTGTACTTGGACAGGGAACATAAAACACTACCCGCCTGTTGCGGCGTGTTGGCCTAACTACGGTTGCTGTGCGACTCTCGTGCACCGCTGATGATTTGAATGCAACAGTACTGTCTCACTGGTTCGATCTGCTTTATACAGGTGGATCATGTGACAGGTGCTTGCTTATTCAACTGTTCGCTTCATTTTGATCGCAACATGGGGTATTAAACGAATTCAAGGAGGGCTTTCGGCATCATGAAAGGAACTGTCTTTCGCGCTGATTTCACAAGTATCATACGCTTTTCAGTTGCAGGCATTTCACAAGACTTCCACAACAAAAGCTAATACATACACATGTATTTGTACAATCAATATAAAATTTTAGGGGGATATTTAGAAAGAAACGAAGCACTGGAGAACATCATAACAAATAAGGACAAATGAGTATGCTTTATATAGAGCAATAAGCGATAAGTTATCACTATTTATCAATTCTATCAAAGTACTGAAGTCGACAAAGCTGTACATGTTCGATGTGCTTTGGCAAACTCCTAGAGATTCAACAAAAAATAAACCCGTTGCTTTTGCATTCTCACCCAGAATCATTCGCCCCTCATTCATTTTGACAGCATTTTCATGAGACTCAGTGCCCCGGGTCTGTAACCTGATCCAAAGTGATTCCTGAAACGGTGGAAGAAAATCAAAATAAAAATATTGCATAATCAATCAATCTATGTTTTTTTTTGGGTAAAGTTGCTCTAGGTAGTTACTAAAACACGGCTTGACTCGGCAGCGTCCATACGCTATAGGAGGCCAACTTTTTCGGGTGTCCTTACCTTGTTATGGCATAGAAAGCTTGATGCCTCGCTACGAAATAGAATGACGGAGTGGCAATGGAGAGGAGAGATGTTAGCGGACATACAGAGTAACAGCCGAGTCGTGTTTTAGTAATTGCCCTGCTCTGGAAAGTCGATAAGGCCAAGGTGTAAGCAACCAGCGAGATTAAAAACCTATGCGCAGTACTTGGAACCTAGGATAAGTAAGGTTATTGCTTGCAATCGGAACGATAAGAACTCATTGCCTAGTCGGTTTGAGGAACTTAGGTCTTAACGTCCTTGTCATTCTTCAATCAGTCTACCTCATTCAAACCGCTGTATCAAAGTGACGCAAACTATACTGTCATTAATTTGCTACCCTTGACATTTCTACATTTTTTTTTTCATGAATATATGAAAAAGACAAACCAATGGTTCAGGTGGTGAAAGAGCTGGTACAGAAGTACACGTTGTTCGAATCCCTTGGCTTTCGGAATTAGCTTATGATAGGCTGCATGGAATTGTTGGCTGAAACCGCCGAACATCGTCAAAATGCCGAATTCATACTCGCTATGCCCGTAAAATGATGCCGGATCGAACAACACTGCAAAAAGACGATGCATTTTTGGAAAGAGAGAAATCCTCGATCTTTTTTTGGGGATAAATTTTGCTCTGACCTGGGCCATCCTTAGTGAACGAATAGTTTCCGGACCATAGATCACCGTGTAGTAAGCTTGGAAAAATCTCGCAATCTTTAAAATATTCCGGAATTTTTCGCTCTAACTGAGACCACAAAGAAGGCAATTCTCGGTCACCGGTTTTCTGAAATTTACGAATTTCTGTTGGTTTCTGGATTAGTTGTGAGATCATCAGAATTTCTGTATGATGTTGACAAACAAAGGCAAAAATTCTAGAAATGATAAGGAATCCTTTAGTGGCATTCGCTGGGAGGTAAATGGTCGCTTGTACAGTTTCCAGGGAAGTAGCGCACATACATCGAACAGGCGGTGGGTACTAAATAGAGGAATGCAGCTCAGAATCGAAGGACTTGTCAATAACTGCGCCCAGGGTTTGGAAGCTTCACAGAAACAGCATTAACCATAGGATACCCGCATTGATGTTCGCGCGCTCATAATATCCTTGGTAAAGCGGCCAGTTTCGGTGTTTTTTACGC